AGCACAATTTGGCTAGACGGTTGGTCAGTCCTCAAACATCGCAACTGAATCACGTTCACACACACACTCACACAAGGTACTTCCCTATTGAACCTAGTTTTGCCTCTTCCCCTATCCAGGCAGCACAACGAGATACAACTGTGCGAGACAGCAGTACACTAACAACTGTCAACAAGTTTTCGGCAATAGAAAAGGTGGCTGAATTCCAACCTTGTTGTATACGTTTCATAGCTGAGCCCTGTGGAGAATAACTGTATACACATTGCCACCACAAAACGTACACTGGAAGAGCATTATGTATAGATGACACAGTCTACGTTGCCACTGCATTGACCCTCGACACAAGGGAAAATGTCTTGAGGGAAACAGCCACGTCCGGGGGGGGGGCACGATAGTTTCCCTCACCGTAGTCTCCTCGAGAGCCCCACTTCCCCAAGAACGGAAGGAAGGATATCTGCCGCTGTTTAGTGGTTCGTGTCATAGACAGCGCTGATAAACTGTCCATACTTTGACTGGTTGCATAGGGTCATTTGGTGGGAGATGTTACAATCAGGTTAGAGGTTTGGGGGAACATAGGTGGAACGCAGAAGAAAGCAAACTACAGTGACTTTCAACAATGCTCATTGTTCCGTTGCTACATCAAAAAAACACGTTGATAAGAGATTACCTAATCTCGCCCTTCGTTTAAGACAGCTCAAGATTGCTCAATGCTTAAGTCGCAAACTGACCGAATGGCCTCGATCGCTCCTATCTAGGGTTGGACAACCTTGCAGTATCCCAGCAATTATGCTTTCTTCGGATGGCATGACATCTATGTTCCGGAAAGGTATTACAGCTGAACGATGTAGGTCACAGTAAATTTTGTTCCTTGGTTCTATCTTCCTAAGAGTAACAGTGACAGAAACGTAGCTAGATCCCTTCAGTTGAAATACCTATAGAGTATGTCAATCTAGATAGAAACGAATTAAGTAGCGCTGCATGTTCGTGTAACAACAGTCGTCTAACGGGCAATTAGATGAGTAAGTCCGGTTCAGTGGTGGAGCAACTACTTTGTGAAACCGGAGAACGCGTTCGTTTGAATTCGGTAAGCTTATGTTCGGATCATAATAGGCGGAAAATCCCGTCTTCCAAAACTTGTTCACATCATACTATTGTAGATGTCAGCATGGACAACCGGAAGTTAACTGGCTCACCTCTGCAATGATGGCAACGGTCATTATCACGACCATCGACAGTACGTCAGGATTCAACATGGATGCTCCGCTGCCGTCCAGTCTTAGTTTGGTCAAACCCTTATTCTGGATAGAGTAAAAGCGAGACGGTCCCTACGTCTGGTCTGTCGTAACTACTCAGAGGTGGCTACATCTCCAGACGCTCATTCGGGGCAATGTAGATGCAAACTGGCAATAACATTAGTGAAATCTGTTAGTCTGCATACCTTGTTGCGTTTTCAGCCATACACAGGGGATCACGCGGACCCCATCTCGGAAGTTTAGTCGTACCGACAGTACCCAAGGACGTATCTTTCTGGCAACGTTAAGGGTTCACCAACGAATGAAGTGAACTCTCATGCTTTACGTCAGCGGCTTGCGACAGCATTTTGAGAGTATGACTTGCGGCCGTCACTTCGTACCCAAGGATCAAGTTCAATCAGTTGTCCCTAACTCAAGTTTGTTATCCTCGAATAACCCGCACATCGTTTGAGCATTATCGTTTTCCTTCTCCGCTGTCCCCACAGAGATCAATGGGAGCGATTTCACCCTAGGACAAATGTTTTTTGGCTCCACTATTTGGCTACCAAGTTGCTGCCCGAGAGCACCACACCTGTAGCATGCCATCACGACGCTTTCGTGCAACGGTTGACAGACTTGGAACGCAGTCTCAGCACGTTTGGTTTCGAATCAGCATGTGATCTGGTTCGACGACATGTGGCGTTCAACTCATGTTGTTGTGAATAACTGGATGTCTGTCGTGTTTCCCCCCTGTCCCTGTACATACATACCAGGCTTCAGGTGTTTAATACGTTCCTAATTCTACCCTACGTCTTCGTGTTCCGTGGCTAGACTGGTGTGGATGGACTGATCAGCGTCTCCCTTTTGCACCTTCATTTGGACGATTCGAAAAACTTGCTGATATAGTACGATGTTTCCAGGTGATATATTTTCCCATCATCAGGCTACTTTCGGATCAGTTCGAAAGGCATCAACGAATACAGTGCAGCAATTGGTTAAACATTCTCTTCGGGACAGAAACTACAAGACAAGTACTCTGCTGCTGTCGAAGGGTGTTTCTCAGTAAGCCAGGCCCCATGAATTTGTAGGTCATAAAGGAACTCGTACTAAACACTGACCTTTTGCAGGAAAGGCCTCACTTCAGGGAGAATTAGAAAAGTTTGAATTCTTCGAGTCAGCAATACATTTGGCAACGAAAGGAAGGGATATGAAACGAAACCAAAAATAGACGGACAATAAAGCTTCTACCGCGGCGTTTTCACATAGGTGTATGGGGCGTATATCACGGCGACTGCAGCAGTGTTTAAGTTTGGCGTGGAATTTTCTGGCAAAATTTGATCAATCATCTCCTGGTTCCTCAAAACGTTCGTGACTGGAAGACAGCATCACTTATTGCTTCTAGAACACTGTTTTCGAGAACCTGTCCCTCATAATCAGGGTATTCTGTTATAACCATCTGTGTGAAAGAGAACTCAATTTGAAGCGGCATTAAGCTACAGAAATCGACTGATTGTTAATGTTAATAGTAATCCCTGGACTGTTTGCCTTATGAGCTTGTCGGGCAGTCCATCTGGAGCCCGATAAGAGGCAAATCGAGATCCCGGCACAGCACCGCAAAAAAGTAAGCCGCTGAGTGAACGGTTTCTATTTGAACAAAAATAAAAAATAAGGTAAGATCACCCGTCAGTAAATTCTGGAAGTATTGTCCAAGTAATCACACGATCGTAGGACACGATGTACGTGTATATAACATTACACGATGTCTACTTGACAAAAAACGTGAAGCGAAAGCAAGATTGAGAAACATGAGGCTACTCGCACGGTACGAGGTAGTACAGTTTCGAACGAAAATGAACGGGTAATGCAACGTTTCTCGGCAGGAAATCGAAAGGGAGAAAAGAAAATCACTGCTATGTATGGAAGTAGAGACAGTATGAACAGAAATGGGAAGTGATAAAACCGGAATTTTGTCAGGATTCAGTACGGACTAGCCTTGTAGCCCCAGGACTTGGCTGACACGCGACGAGGCACGCTTGGTCTCCACGAGGAGTAGGACAACAGACTTGTCCTTCAAGCCAGCTACGATCAGTGGCTAGGAGAAAAAAGTAGGATACTCATGATTACGCAACACAAAATCAACATTCCAGTTTCGGAATTCTGTCCAGGCTGGAGTCAACGCGACAGTGCAACCATTTGCACCCTTAATGGCAGCAGAACTACCAAAATAAACAACGATTTGACGACAGGGAAAATTGTTGCCAGTGTCACAGGAGACTTAGAACTCGAAATAACGACAAACGGAATCACGTTCATCTACTCACAAGGTTGCTGAAAACTCTTCGACAGCCCACGACAGGTTTCGCCCTTCTTGGGGCTCACCATCAGGTAGACGAAGTCCCCGAATTTCCGTCAACCTTATGATCTACTTGAACCCAAATTGGACTGTTCATTTGCAAATCAATTTGGTTTTCACGAGAGACTCAACTGAATCTCTCGTTTATGATATTCTACAACTGAATGTGCTGCACAGACTCAATTGGGGACAGAGCAGTACCACCTAAACCCCAAAATCCGTTTGGTAACGATCAACGGATTAGACAGCACACAGTGTTCGAGTCATGTTATGAGCAGCTGATGAAAGCTTCTACCACTAAATGTGGTGCATGAGCGAAGCCTCAGCTCATCAGCATAGTCAGTTCAACAGCCGAGAATCTACACATGGACTGGCTACGCTGTTGGATGAATTAGGCCATGCCTCACTTGAGCCTACAAAGTAGTGGCTGTACGTCGACGTCAATAAAATAGAACGTGACCCAACATTCTATGGAAAATACGTCCGATGTACACGGGTATGTTGCCGTGCTCCATAAAACCGCACCCAAGGGGATGAGGAACAGTTTTCAGCTGGGCAAATACCCACCTCAAATGGATGAACGGCCAAACAAACAGGTGCATGAATTCTCTCGCGACCGATATGTGTGAGCGAGGAGTGAACGGTGCCGCCTTGGATACGGTGTACGAGCAGTTGTGGAGCGGAGCCACCAATGCCAGCAATGGCCAAATGTGAAGACAAGGGTGATAAATCCACCTAAGTGAAAGGAAGCATAAACAGAAAAATTGCATATTCTAAATGTACAGCACGCATGAGAAAAATAAGATTCCCATAAATCTGAGTGAGCAAAACACTGAGTGCATCTTTTTGCGAAAACAACAGTGGGACTTTCGTTCTGTTTAGTCAACCCGTGCGTGACCAGCGTGATCCCTAACCCAGCGGAAGCCATTCCCCGGACAAGAGGTTAACTTGTACTATTTATTGCTTCTTGTTCGCCACCACATATTCTGCGAAACAGCTGATCAGCGCGCGTGTAACGCACTAGATTTCTAAGTTTAGCCAACTGAATCGCAGAGCAAAGCCTTTCGCCGGATCTCGCCGTTGACTGATCTGAGGGTTCGTGTCATCGAAGTCAATTGGGTACTCAGCTGGATGTGGGTTAGAGTTGAACGGCTAGTGTGAGGTTCATTGAACGAAACTCAACGTAAGGAGATATGTGAAGCCAGGAACGCAAGACGGAGTCGAGGTTGGGCTCAGACCTTACGGTTGCTGTCTTCTATAGTCAAATGGTTGCAAACCCTGCATCCAATGGCTTTTTTAGAACACAAATTTAAAAAGTTCAACATATCACTTACCTAGAGCCGTTGGACTGAAGGAACGGCCACAAATGAGCGTGGTACTTTAGCCTAACCCTTCAGAAGACCTAGAATTTGGTGGGAACTGCACACGCAAATGCAAATGATAACAGGGATGACCCCTGTAGACTAAAAACGAATCGTTTGTTACATACCTAAGTTTAAACCGAAATGCTTGGGTTGAAAAGACCATTGTCCGTGTGACTGGGTCACGGACTTTGTGACAGTTGTCGACAACTGTCCGGTGATACTTCAGTTCCTCGTGGATCGCTGTTTTGGAAGTAGCTCGCGTCACATATGATAACTAGCAATGCTGGATGAGGACTAAACTACAGATAGAATTACAGGATGACTGCAGGATAAACGGAAAAGTATGGGCTCAAGCAATCAATATTTACCTTGAGGGCGGTACAATGTACAGGTGTGTTTTTGGGGATGGAAAGTCGTGGTGGGTACGGTCGGCGTTCGAATCGCGATCCCTGTTCTATTTTGGAAATGGAAGACTGCTTACGTACTGCAGATGAGCTGACGATGCGCTCGGACAATCTGGGACGAGACTTTGAAATGCTGGTAGTTAATTGCCACGCAGAGACCCCGCCAGTGGAACCTGTCGCGTACAAACGACCGCAAGGACCAAAGGCGACGTCGTGTATCCAACCGGAGTCTCCTTGTCCTGAGAAGATATGGCTGTGTGAAGACAAAGCCACAAAGAAGGGTGAGCACAATACGACCTCTCTGTACAGTAAGTTCCGACAATTAATCCATATTTCGGCCAAAGCCGTACACTAGGAGCAATTAGTTCCCAATTCGTAGTGACTCCTGTATATCAACATACTGTAGGGTACCAAATTATTCAAGATTTGAGGGAGAATTTTTGTGAATACACAATCCATTGTTTCCTTGCACATAACATCACAGGAATAAATGAGTTGTGATTAAAATGTCTGTTTTTTTATACTTCTCTTGTGATTTCCATATCGGGCTGCAAATGATTATCGAATACACTGAGGTCCATTGCCGCTAATCATCTCATACTGGTGAAAGGAAGAAGGCCTTCGCTGCGGAGTTGTTTATTAGAGAAACACCAATTGAACAGTTACAGGCTATTGGGCAGGGGAGCAGAACTCTCATATGCATCATGTTTACAAAACTGAACATCCATCTTTTCCTTGAACGCGTTTTCCTAAACTTTCCTGGGTATTCACTGGCTGACTGCTACTCAAATGCAAGCAAATACTACAAAGCGATTCCACAAATTCCGTAATAGATCTCACTTTTCAAGAGACGCGAAGCGGATTTGGGAGAAAAAACATACTGCTCCTAATCACATATCAGTAGTATCCACCGTTACACTGGTAACTTTCGCAGGGCAATTCGGCTTCCGCTCGCCTGGTGAGTCATCAAGTTAAATTAATCCTTAGTTTCTATGACGCAGTCTTCTGTAGTATGGTGCGCGGTTGTCGGTATCATCTCTAGGCGCAAACAAATCCGAGTCATAAAAATGCACAACAAAAGGCTTCCACGCTTACAATACCAGAATGCCATCACTTTGCGGCTAAAATCCGCTGGAAGAAAAAAAACCCTATCTATGGATACTCAAAACAACTCAGTCACAACAAAAGTCTTCCACGCTTACAATATCAGAATGCCATCACTTTGTGGCTAAAATCCGCTGGAAGAAAAAACCCCTATCTATGGATACTCAAAACAACTCAGCCGGACACACACTGTTGCCTCGAATGCTGAGTGTCCATCATATATCCAATGAGAGATTCAGTAGACCGTAATAACATGGGTACTATCGACAGCTAACAATCCTGAAACCGAAAACTTACCAGTCATTGCTGTGGTGGGGAGAAGCGGATGCCGGAATCCGGAGATCAAACACCCGAACCCCACCGTCCCCGAATCCTGCACATAACAAAGACTGATCCAGACTACGTGCCAGGGAAGTTACGCAGGCATCCGCCGTGGTGGGTAAATCACGAATGCGAGACTCACGTTCACAGTCCCATAGACGAATAACTTTGGAGTCCCCACCAAGAGTGAGCTGTTGGGAGTACTGACTCCAGTGAGAGACCATACCAGCCGGGTTGCTTGAGGTTAGAAGTTCACTTAGGCCGACCCTGAGGTGTGGAAATAGAAAAAACCTCAAGTGGAGGCACTGAGCAGGAATTTATCTTCTGGAATCACAACAAACATGTAAGAAACACATCGGTGTTAAACGAGCATCAAGTAAGATGCACATACACGGCACCATCCACGTCAAGAGGAAGCATACTAGAAAACAAGCTATTTATTTCTCTTTGAGGTCAAGAGTGAGCTGCCCCATTCGAAGCAGTAGTAAGAAACTTCATGAGCACATCCTATCTGAGTTGGCTTTTAAACGGAATTGTTGTAGTCAGCACTGTTTCCGAAAGGCCGCCTCTGTACAATGCTTGAGAGGCTTGGTAATTTACTTGTTCACCAAGCGTGGCAACTGAATTTAAACGCTTCACCTCCCAAATATGGTGACATTGTCGATTCGAAGAAATGCCTTCGAAACAAACAACAAGTGATGCGCACGGAATACTCATAGTCCGGAGCACTTGAAACACCCTATACCAGCAATAACCGTCGAAAGACATCTGAGTAGTGTGATGGTGGCAGAGAGCCCAACTGCGTGACCGTATAGCCAGATAGCTCCAATGCAACTGTCCGTGACGATGTTGGTGCATTCGCATAAGCACAGAACGGCATGTACATCAACACAAGAAGGAATCTCACCCTACTGCGACAGACGTCAAACCGCGTGCGTATCTTTATGATATGGAAGCCAGAAATTGTGCATAACATCCAATATGGTCGGGTAAAGAATGGAACTTGATGATGCGCTAACTGAGTCCAGAAATAAGCAAACCTGTGGCACACATGACATTGGTATAATCACAAATTACATTCTGAACACGTCCAAGACCTTTTTTTGGGTACACTCATGGCGGATACTGTATTTAATTATATCGTATGTTAAATCCACACTACACAAGTCAAAATCCAGTTCGTAGGAGTGTATGATGAAAGGCGGGAAAACTGCGTTGTTTATCCTTGTCTGGGTGCGCCCAAGTGATTGTTCATTCTTCGCAGTCCCGTGAAAGTTGCTAAACGTTGGTAGGATCATCGTACGCATCGCATACGATGGTTTCCAAGCCAATCCTAGTTAAAGTGAGGTTTCGACCAAAAGTGCCGATATGGTCTTCCAAGCGATAGGGCGATGGTCACAAGGACGCACAAACGCCGAAACAGCGGTTATAGTTTCTCAAAAACAAAATGATGCCGCCATTCGGTTGGTTGAAAGGATGAAATCATTGGTGGTTTTAAAAACACTACAGGATATTATATTGTTTTACGAAAAGTTACGAAACAATTTCAGATCAGTTTCTGCAGGTAGGTTGATGTGATGGAAAAAGGTTCCCCGTTTTGCATGCATGGCACCAACACCAACCCACTACTTACCAGGCCGTAACTACTTCAGCATCTTGACCCAAGTCTCGGAGGTAGTTGCGCCAAATTCGGACCCGCCCATCCTCGTGAGCCGAAAGCAGCAGACCTCGCTCTTCCGAACAATTTAGGAACTGTACATCGGTGATGCGACTGGCGAGTCCCGCTGGATCACTGGGGGGGGTCAATGTGTAGACGAGAAATAACGGCCAGTAGTGTGACGAAATGAAGGTAAACGATAATCACTGCAGTTCGAGTCTTTATAAGAGCAGAGAACGAAGGTGCGATGGAGTAATTCAGAAAATTAGTACACCGCCACCCATTAGAAAGGTCGAACGCCATTTAATGATTTAGGTGAAACAATCACAAAAGATAACTACCTCCGATCTACAGATTACGTGGCATTGCATCTTGGAAGATGGTATCACTCATCTAAGCAAAACGATCAGAGATTCGGGCAGGAAAACTAATCCACACAAATCCCATCCCTTGGATGCTTTCGCATTGTTTCTCTTCATGTGACTGTCTTGTAACTTCTTTCATGTTACTGTACTGAAAGCCAACGAAATGGCAGCAGCGTGCGTACCCTACGGAAATACAATCGCAGTAGCAGGCCCCATCCTACTGGCACTAATGATGCCTCCCCTTGTTCTATAAGTATAAATCCTGTCTTGTGTTTTGAGTCTTTACGATAGTCTGTTTATCTTAACTGCCGGGGCTGCCTTTCATCGGATTAGCCTAGTCATGGCCCGCTAATCCGATGCGCTAAATTTCGCCTTCCGGGAAAGGTCTAAACTCCGTGCACCTAATAGGACTCGCAACCTCTGAACAACACATCGGTAATTGATTGCCGTTTAAAATGATACCTCAGGCGGTTTATCAATGTGGTCATTTGATCGATTTCAAAAACTACTAAAGGATGCGCTGCTGTTAGCTGGGAGTTTCCGTAGTAACAATGACTCCGTCTTTTGCTGTGTGCCGACGGTCGAACAAACAGTAAATATCAAAACGTAATTCGGCAGATGGGAATGGTCATTTCAGGTCGGAAGTAGAATTCAAGGGCCCGTTGGATGCTTAGGTAAACAGCGTACAGGACCTGCTTTTGGCGTTCATTCTGTGTACGCGATCAATCTTCACTATCGACGGTGGATAAATACCGGTCCTTGTAGGAAATTTCGGATTCCAATAGACACTTCGTAGTTGCGAGCTGCTGTGAATAGCATCGCCTAGTCCACTGACGCTCCTTTGGTAGTCGGCTTGATCTCTCCCAATTTCTCATTTGGAACGCTTATGATAGTTCAATATTGTAACGCTCGCTTTCAGTAGTAGACATCTGACTTTTTTGTTTATATGAGAGTTGGTAGTCGTACTTTTGTGTTCGTACACATTAGCTCTGCAAACGCTTTGGCAACGATGGAGATGAGAATCATATAATTCGTAATCACGATTGACTTTCCGCGAAACGTATATTTCTGTGTTCGGGGGCGAATATGTTGTAACTTGCTGAACTGTAGTGCAACTCTGTATCGATCTCTTGGATTCCTGCTCCACCCGCTATGGTATATCAAAAGGCACGGTAGCTCTAGACAGCACTTTATGGAGACCAAGGAAAATTATTATAACCGTATTTATAAGGCAGTCACAGAGTGTTCCACAAGGTCGTGTCAGAATCTCCGTGAGGGGGCGAGAAGCATCGAGTCAAAGGTGCTTGACTCGGATCGGCTGGCATTCTGACCAATCAGGGCATGCCTTCGTTTGGCCCGTGTCCTGCACGTGACATCCGTCCAAATGATGTGATGTTCGGTTATTTAGAGACGGCTGGCCTCCGTACAGAATATCACTACCAGTTGAATCAAGTCCTGTCTTGAAAAAGCGCTGGACTGGCTACCGTCACATTGAACAACCGGTCGTCGATCTGGGTCGTAGCGGACCAAAACAGATAGGTGCTTCACTAACGGATTCCGTGATCTGCTCCCTGTTTCCACGACAGGAAACACATCGTTGACAACAAACATGCTTGTTCTAGTAAAGAAGACAACCGGGATGAATGACCACGCCACTCATCTCGTAGGTTGCTTTGTTACCACCTGGGATAGAAGCCTTCTGAACTGTACGAATCTGCGAGCAAGCCGTTTGATGTTAGCCAGGCGACTACCTCGTTCAATACGATTGACAAACCTAGATAAATTGTCTCTACGTCACCCACGAGTTCACTCGAGTATTCATACCATCATAATAAAGATCGCACCAGAAAGTTTGTCCAACGCTTCATTTGATCTTTTTGTGATATCACCCGAGATACCTTCAACCCGAATGCAGGGTGTGCTCATATAAGTTGACAAAAACGTGCCTTAGGCTTAATTGGTCGAAAGTTGAGAGTAGATCAATTACCGTGATAGATATGAGGGTATAACATATAATGTAGGAATTCTAAAGCGTTCACTAAAAAGAACAGAATTCAGTGGTTTCGAATCGACAGAAAGTCGGAACCTGGGCTGGTCTACTCATAAATGCTGCCACTTGACTGGACCAATGTCGGTTCATCAACCGATAGTCAGCATCAGTAGATGGTTCAGCCCGGTGATACGTCAACGCTTGATGTGGTGCAACTGGAACACTCACGGAACGACAAAAAATTCACAATCGACAACGAATATGTCAACTCCAGTATGCAGACTGGTTCATCGCCAAATAAAGCGTCGGGATGCGAATTACCGGCAAATTCACAACAACCAACCTACAACGGCTCAAATAATCGAGGAAACGAGAACTGGACTCAATAGTCCAGAGTGTGCTCTTAGATCCCATGCAGGGTTCTGACATACAGCCATCTTTCCGATGATTTTCGCACATGTGACGTCCCACGTTTGTATATAAGAATTCACAGGTGATAACGACAGGTCTCGAGAGTAGCTGTCACCAGTGCGTCTGAAGCCGGGTGAATTCGACACTAAACTTGGTCTCCAGCAAACTTTCACTCGGTTAACTGTTTACCACTCCATCGACTACGATTCCGCCTCAACCAATTCGACATCCGTTAAGTGCGGAGCGATTCCGTTTTCCGAGTTCGGAACAGGCCTGCTAACTGGCCGGGTACTTTTATTCACAGACATTTGGTCACCCGAAATTGTACGAGCGCGGCATCCACCGTTGAGGTAGACTAAGAACTGCAGGACCATATATGACTCAAAGCTCTCCTGCGACTACAGGTTTCGGCTGGAGGCAGCCAGCGTTTCGTTCATCTGGTCCCGACAATATTGCTCCCCCTTCATTTCCCCTGAATGTGAGTGCACTTGTGATGGATCGGGAACATTCTTCCAAGTACGAGCGTACGTTTTTGACTGCTTTCAGAACTCACTAACGCATGAAAGTTGTCGTGGCTATGCTTCCAGAGTCTATGGTTAGGTTATTCGGGACATGCGCTACTTGTGTTGGCATACTTGTGGGTGCGTGACAGTGTAAGGGGAGATCTGTGAAAGCTTTGCTATGAGCAGTGATATCTGACGAGTGTATGAACTTTCCCTGCTTTTGTTCATTTCATCACATCATCACCGTTGAGAAAATGAGGTGAACTCTGGTTCTACACGATGGAGAACCTCGTCGACCTGGACATTCTTCCCATTTGTTGAATAACAGCAGGAAGCTAGAACATTGCTAGAAAGCCTGGAAAAGATCATCCAATCCTTCGCTACGAGCTTCGCCTGATAAAGTGCAAATCCATGCTGCGGGACGTAGTCATTGAACATGTCTCTAAGAATTCAAGAAGTGTGAAACACTAGACGTGTCTTGAAAATTAATTACCTCTGCTGGTGGAACACAGATGTTCAGGGGCTGAATGACACTAAAAACATTTCTCTGAATACGACAGAAACGAAAGCTAAACATGATTTTTTACCGCACTCATCTCAGAGTTCAACAGTGAACTGACGTACTTTCTTGCCGGATTCTCAGTTTCCAGCCCTTCAGTTATCTTGTAAAGAGACAGCTTATGTGGAACCATCAAGGGGGATCCATACGAATTCCAGTTGCATAGATCACCCTCAGCGGTCTTAACGAATTTGTCAGGGTAATGAAGAGGACGATAGGAGCTATGGAACCCAAATCCCACGACCAATGAAGTTAGACAAACCTTCGGTTCGCTCCGACGGACGTTCTAGAAAGCAGATCGAATCCGCTGGGAGTGGGAAGATAGTTTAGCCGAGCCAATGTTTGTGAAGAACACACAGACATTCCGGAATGGTCAGCCACAACAAGATGAGGCTGGTGCGGGTGAAATCGAAGTACACTAGGCTTGCCTGGGCCGTTTCGATTATGAACCACTGTGGCAAGACGTCCACAATATGTGATTCCATCGGTAACCGAGTTGAACGACTGATTCGGAAAGGACGGGTCGCTAGAGGGTACAGGACCGATTGCTTCAAGCCAGCGCCGTCGGCCACTCGTAATGTCCTCTCTTTGCTTGGTTAGCCGAGTTAAACGGTCAGCGTACGCCACTGCATCGGGGTCCACAGACACAGCACAAAGGGCGGCAAGATCCGGATCCGGAGCTCCAGACATCCAACGCTCACGTGAAAGTCGATCATTCGAACTTTCCGGAGAAAAGGCACGCTGCCTTGGGGATACTGAAAGTGGACAACAAACAAGAGATGTTAGTCATCAGAGGCACGGCCACTTGGCGCAGAACTAAAGCAAATGAGGGACACACCTAGGCCGACAGATGACGAGGAGCAGGATAAGAGACCACGTGTTGAATCCTCCTGTCGGAAACAAGTTTGACCATATTTGGCAAGCAGAGGCTGTGTGAACCAGCGACAGGACCAAGCGAAAAACTGCGTCTTTTGCACTGCACCCAAAATTCTGTCATAGTCGGAGAGGTGTGAATTGCCTTGGATTGGAGGTACACGAGGTGCAGATGTATGCTACAAAAAGGAGAGACGATCGTGCTTTATGCATGAACAGGGCATTGAGGCGACAGGAACGATATTACGAAATAAACTGAGCACTGACAATAAAATGCGGGACGGAAAATGAGGAACTGCTTGTCAACGACGAGCGTACATTCCATCATCACACTATCTGACGAGGTGGTGGATAACACTGGTAACATAGTGACTAACTCAGTGGGGAAATTTCGTTGGGATAAAAGTTCACATCCACAGACTGGGGCAATACCGTCCACTGGCTGTCAGAGTTTGGAAAACACCTTTGCACTCTCGGTTTTGCTATTGCACTGTTGTCACCTTAGTGGAGCAAAGGAACACAGGAGTAAGTGATTGACAAAATCGGCTTGAATGCCAATGCACAAAACCGGCTTCGAATTCGAATATATTTTGGACATCTACGGGCACACGCATCAGCCGGGATCGAACAGGATTCTCCGCACCAGTTATCTTCCTAGCGGGTGACTGTGCTATTATTATAAAGCCATATATGGGAAATGCCGCCTAACAGCGGCCACTGGAGAAACATCTTAAAAGAAAAACTACGTTACGTCTCCACGAAGAAATTACTCTGTCAACAAGACGATCTAAGGTTTATAAAACTCTTTCTTCCTCCAATGAAGAAACAAAACACTGGAGACGGAAACAGTTTACTTTCTCGTTCCCCACAATGGCCGAATTAATCTTCGAAGGGAAACATCAGAATGAACGTGTCTTAGACAATGGGTCTAGATTTATCGGGGTTCCTGAAAACTCTTTGACACCCGGTTGTGCTCTTCTTCGGACTCGTCAGCTGCAAAATCATTGATCTTCGAAGGGAAACATCAGAATGAAGGTGTCTTAGACGATGAGTCTAGATTTATCGGGGTTCCCGAAAACTCTTTGACACCCGGTTGCGCTCTTCTTCGGACTCGTCAGCTGCAAAATATCACGACAGAGAGAGTTAGCTATCCCTCGTCAACATGAACGCGATTTGAAAATAAGCGTATCTCGCCCAATGGGTACAATTTGGGTCCAACTCAAACACATTGATGGAGATTCGACAACTGCGACCACCTGGCGAGTCCCAAGAACGAGAAAACCGGTCGTGGGCCTTCGAAGAATTTTTAACAACCTTATGAGTAGTTTCCGTTGTGAAAATATACTGCGATATATCGAATATTGTGCCAGCTGAAAGATGAGGCAGTCTTTGTGCGGCACATTCTTTTGAAGAATATCATAAACGAGAGGTTCAGTTGAGTCTCCCGTGGAAACTTAGTCTCCTATACAATGCATTAAGCTGAGTTGTTCCGTGTGAAATTCGACCTTTTGCCAGGCATACTTGCATGTACACATATGAACAAATGCACTACATCAACACCCTAATCTTTCCAGAGTGTTGACCCCACAGCGGCGCTAGAAGTGATCGCCGCACAGACGAAGCTGAATAACAGCGAACCACATGTGTGTTTAGGGTCCAGGAAATGCTTCACATATAGCGTGGGTCTCAAGTATTCGGTTCGACAACAGTCGGGCATGCTAATGCTTCAAAACTATCCGTCCCGGGCATCTTCCGATACCTCGGGTTTAAACCAGATGTAGCGCGTTTATTTGGTTACACATGCGTCTCAGCCCAGAAACCGCACGTAGCACTACCTACACCACGCGGTGTATCATTGACGGAATTCTATGTGACAGGTAAATCCGGAAATGGGTTTCAAGCCGCCGGGTGAATGTAGACTAAAAGAGAACAAGTTGAGCTGGTATCCAGAAGTGTGAGGAGCCACTTTGCAAAACAAAAACGACGTCCATAGCAAAGACCTGAATAAAACTGCTTGCCTATCCTCACTGAGTTCGTGCAACCAGGCAGATGAAGAACAAGTACGAGTAGCCTGCTTATTGGGCATCCGTTGCCGAGTGAAACTAACCGCTGCCAACGTAGTTGTTATCACGTCTTGTGAGTCATCTGGATAATCAGCATGGTATGATTTAGTCATACCAAATGGATGCTTGGGCAATTTGAGTAACCTAAGCAATCGATAGTGTGCATTCACCCTGACATCTTCCGTGTGGCGTGCCTTCCCGAAAGGGAAAATCGGTGTAGCCTGGGCACGGGTAAACTGACACGAAATACAAAACGAAATGACACCCGTTCATTTGGGTTCAAGCTAATGGTTCACTTAATACGACATCTCCTTAGTAATTCGACAGTGGAAAGCAACAAAAGGCCAATTAAGTCGTGTTGGGTGGGCTGTTGCACGAGAGAATTGGATGACCTATTTTTTACGATTAATGGGCATCATTGTATGAATCGTGAATCGTTCAGCTGTAGCACCCTTTCGATGCCTAGCTGCCATGCCACTAGAAGGAAGCACGAGGGCTGGGCTACTCTCAGGTTGCCCAAGCCTAGACAGGGGAAGTCGAGAGGCGGAGGTCGGGTTCGAACCACGAACCTTCCGGTCAGTAAATTCGCTACCTAACCACTTGGGCCATCCCGCCCCTCATTACTGTATGACCGTATTGGGGGAGTCATGGAAAGAAGGGCCTTTTGATGAAGGTAGTGTAAGATGAAAATGAATAGGTATACTTCCAACAGAGCCAGACCAAAACCTTGTAGTTGATTGTGTCTGCGTTGGACTTGTTGCGGTGACAATTTAGTGTCCCGGCTATCCAAAATACAGTTGCGTACCGTACAACTCAAAGACAAGTCATGCTGAATGGTAAAGCATTAGACAGTAGCCCAACATTGAACTCATGAAAAGTCACAAGACAATCAGCCGGATTCATCATGCGACCAACACTGAGTAGGATAGAGAAGAACCTACTGATGACTGTGCCTCAAGGAGTGGCTTCCGTACAAGTTGATCCACTTGGTGATGACGGCGCCCGGTGAATTGTGCTGAATGCAAAAGAAATGTCGAGGTCAGGGGTACGTTTGTCCGGTTGGGACGACGTTGGGTGAAACTGCAGTTAGAAGACAAACAAATCGAATGACACAGGTGAGACGACAGCAAGATTGGAAGAGGACAAACTATGATTCAGATACCTCCCTCGAAAGCCTATGGTTATTCTGCGACCTGTGAATCAGTTGAGTAGTATATGAGAGGCCCACAGAGTTCAGGTTCACACAGAAAATAGAGGAGAGGACGGAAGAATAGTTAAAACACGGGGTTCTGGTACACTCTATCCAATAAATGGATCCTCAGTAGTGAACGTGGGCAGTGAGGTTACAACTGGCACCAGATCCAATCTCCACTCTCTATACACTGGGACTAAGGTTAGGAAAATAACCTGCAGAAGAAAACATGAGATTAATGGTTGAAAGAAACGACTGCGATCAATCAAAGCAACGATGGCGATGTTGGGTGGAATTATATTGGTTGTTCGACGTCCTTAGAGGGAAAAGGCATTAATAAAATCAGGCGTGTCGCTTCATTTTTACTTATATGGTAGTTGTTGTGACTTTGTGCGTAAGCCTATTCATTTGTTGCTGTTCCAGTGTTGCCAAAACGCTGTGGTTCATCGAAAGGAAGACCGAGGGACCACGACATGGTTGTCGAGACCAGCCAGAACGATATCTTGTCATATCGGTGGTTACGCAGTCATTACAATGAGCTTTATGTTGTAGATGAACAAAGTGAACTTTACTGAATACTGGGAAAAATAAACGTCCAAAAACAAAGGCGGGACAAGTGGATGGTCAGGGTGAATGACCCAACAGAGATGGATGAATTAGCGGACCGTTTCGATTGTGTTCAGCCAATTGACGGACTGGAAATAGGACGTGCAACCTATGAGCTCTGTGGCACACACGGAATTCAGCCGCAAAATAGCCCTACTTATCAAGTCACCCTGTAATTTATAATATTGAAAACTGTTAGCTACTGTTCGGACACTATGGATTATCGTGTGTGTATGTGTGTGTGTGTGT